CCGGAGTCCCTATTTTCTTAAACGTTTAGGATCTCAATTTCCTCGACGCGATCCGAGATATCGCAGCTTTACGTACGGAATTTGTAATTTTTTTGAAATCGAAATAATCCATAGGGCACCTATTGGCCCCTTCTTCGTGTCCTTTAGCTTTTAATAGCATAGATAAACTTTCATTGTGTTTGAAAGCTGATAAAGAGGAAGATCGATGTCGAAACACTGTTTTTGTTTTTATTAGAAATGTTCACTTTTGACATTTATCTTCATCACCTCGTAACTTCAATTTCTCAATTATCTTCAAAACTGGCTGAATAAATACGAAGTGGAAAAAGAAGCGAATCATTATATAGCAGCTCCTAAAGCTGGGGAGACGAGGGAAGTAATCGAGTCCAATTCCACGTTCACCGTCTCCGTTTCCATAGAGATCAAAGCTCGAGATGTTTCGCGCGCTCGCGGCAAAATGAACGTTACGATGCTCAAACTTCTGTTCCTTTCACCAACTAGAAAGGGTGTCAGGCAGGGAGAGAGGGCAAAAGGGAGGGGTTGAAACGGTGTCGTAACGAACCGAGCGGGCTGTTAATCGCCCGCACGCTCGATTCCGAAGGGGCTACAAGAAACTACGCGATTGCACCACCGCTCTTTAAGTTCCACGAACCGCGAACATAGGACAAAATAGTATTGCAATGACTGTAGCAGGGTCGGACAAGGAGAACGTGAACAGGAGCGGTTGTAACGGCCTCTTTAACCGTTTCCACTTCCTCGTGCAAATTTTAGTGAAATTGTCGTGCACTCGAGGCTCTTCCCTTCGAGATGGGCGAACCTATTCAGGGACCACTCGAAAAACATTCAAGTGCCCATTGTACGAGTACGTCCGTCTGTTCAGGATGCTTTACCTCGTTGATGCACACCCCGTACACTCCTTTGCAACCTGGTAAATACCCTGGTAAAATTACTCACTCCAAGTATCGTGTTAATAGAGGATGTAAGACTTTAATCAGATTTCAGATGAATTCGATTCTACGTAGTTCTGATACCAAATGAAAATTCGTATGCATTTGTTAAATCCGTGCATGTCGTTCTTTATGATAGTCGATTTTGTTCGATTAGATAGTCGATATTAAAAATTAATTCAAACTTGATATTTCTAATCTTCCTTTTTACAGCCAAATTGCTCGAGATTCGCCGAATTTAAAGCGACAATAAACAATGAACCACATATGTTCATCATGATATGTTATGGAATAAATTTATAAAATCTACTATTGTGTGAATAGAGCTAGCCTACTTTGTTGCTAGATGAATAATCCTATCGATGACTTATTTTATCTCGCTTAAAACACTCCTGGAGCAATGCACGTCTAAACTTCATGGTTGCGACACATGATTCTTTACAGTCTTTAATTAAATTAGTCAGTTTCGTTACGAATAATAGAATTAACGAATATATAGTACATCTATTTCTATTTTCATTGGTAAATTAATTTCATCTTTTTCAAAATAATAAAGCAAAATTCCTAGATATTCATCGAGTATTCCTACTAATTGCATTAATCTCTTCTGGAATTTTTAGTGACTCGCTGCGATAGTAATACACGTAACCAGCAATTTGAAGCAGTTTACTATGCATTATGCGATTGGATTTACGATTTACGATTTCCGATTTCAAAACGTTTATGCTTAATGAAACAGTGGAGCAGAAAGCAGTCATTTACAGTTTCCTACCATGCACTCGCGTTTGCTTCAAATTGGAATCATATTACAGTCAATGATTAAAGTAAAGATACGATTCAAAGGGAAACCAGCAATGCGCCATTGGCACTAATAACATTATCGATTAAAGCTTTATGTATAAAAAAAATCTTCAATTGTAATGAAATTCATTTTACATATTGCATACTTTATGAATGGAATACTTTAAGGTGGATTTTAAAGAATTCTGTTCCAGTGAATAAATTGATCTAAATGATTAAATAAAAAATATAGTCTTAGACTCGTCAATATCATTAAAATTTTTACCTAATAAATTAGTACAAAAATCTGAGCATACCAATAATCAGATTACCCACTACTAAATCTACCAACATTCCATTCCTCAGAAGTTCTCCCAGAAAAATTTAAGTATGAGCATCGTATCTTTTAAAACCTATCACATCATTGCCCGCGTCTCACCGCTAACAGAATCTCCAGTACCGCTATTTGCCAATTTTCACTATCCCTTTTATTGTCATAACTTGAAAGCGTATAAATGCCAGAAAGAATATCTCCACGTCCCGTAACCGGAGGCTCTTCATTTTCCAGCATTGTTGAATTTCGCGCTCTACACCTGGAAAAGGGGCGAGAGTACACGTGCGCGAGCCCACTACGATTAATCATTCTGTTTTTCGATGCTGCCTCCCCCAACCTCGAGCTACCTCGTTTTTTTTTTTTTTTTTCGTTTTCGGCCAGTTTTCACGGAGGAGTCGGGGGTAATTGTTCGCTCACGGTACGAACAACAAGCGCGTCAAAAGCCGGACGAGCCAGCGGATTCGTTAGGCAAGCATTTAACGAAAAACGACGCGGCGTTTCCCCGAGCTGTCTCCACCCCTTCTCGTCCGGCTAGTTTTTGTTTTAACCCGTTACGTTCATCCCTTTCTCCGACGATACATACGAACACTTGTCAACGTCGCGTGTGTGTGCACCAGGAACCGCGGAATTTACGTGCGATTTTGCGATCCGTTTTATTTTTATCCGCCTTTTTTTTCTTTAACTTTCTCCCTTGTACCGTTTGGTTCTTCGCACCTTCTCAGTCTGTAAATTTTTCCGATGTTTTGCTTGCCGTTAACTTTTTTATTCTATCCTTTGTGTCAACCCTCTTCTCATTTATTTTCTTTGTCCTTTCATTCTTGTTCCCTTCTCGCTGTTTCCTCTTTTTTATTCAATACTTTTTTCCATTTTCTCTTCGTTTTTCTCTGTTTTATTCTTCAAATGTTGTCCTTTTGTCCGTTTTCGAATAAGAGTGTTGTATCTATTAGTTTTCTTTGCGTCATATTCTAAGATAGTAGCTATATGTATTTTTCTACAAATGTTATATTTTATAACGAATTTATAATAACTTCTATAATATTTATAAATGTACACAAGTAATTAAAGCTAACATACTTCTTCTAAGGGAATAAAAACCTATGCCTGCTTTACATGCCTCACAGAGAAGTAGCGTTTGTAATAAAGTTAATTAATTCCAATTTTAGATCATATTTCTCACACGTTATTTAGCAAATCATGTCATAAAATCTTCATCAACGGCCAAACTCTCAAATTACCCTAATATTTAGTCGTTTATTACATCAATTAATTTCGTTTGATCCACCAACTGATTCTAAATTATTTAAGGGGGCATTGTTTTAATGGCTGCTCAAATTTCATCGCTCCAAGCATGGTCTGATTTACGCTATACATACTCGTGGTATCCGATCACTGCGATGCACACACCCCCTAGCAGTTTCCTAGAATTTAATCGGCGCTATTATACTGACAGTTAATCTTGTTGAATTGTACCCTGTTCTGCTCGTAAATGTGTAATGTTATGATAGTTGGCTCTATGAAGATTCCCAGATTTAATCGTAGAGAAGAAAACCATGATATTCAGAGACGTAAACGACTCCTCACGATATTTTGCAAAAGAAATGGTAGATTATTATATTATCATACATTAAATCTGCTTACTCATGGAAATTACATGAAAATTTTCGACTTTTATTGCCGTGGAAGTGAAAACTAATTGATTACGATTATAATAATTATGATTACAAGTTAAATAAAAAGAACAAGAAAATAAGATGAAATATGTGCCATATAGAATTAACTGTTACATAATATATACGTTCTACAATGCTATGCTTTTACTACGATGCCATACTTCTTACTATTATGTCAAATATTTACTACCTACACCTTATCTACTTAGATTACAACCTCAAAGTAGCCTACCTTACTATAAATCACACCTACGTAAAAATCTAAATATTTGCTTACTTTATCCACGTAATAATCTAAATGTACAATAATAAAGGGAAAGGGAAGGAATATTGTATGGAGTATGAGCCACAAAAGATTCTAAAACAAATTCTATATGCGAAAGGTTAGTAAAATTCTATAAAATATGTATAATTACTACCTGATTGGTAAAGTCCAAATATTATTTCCTAATATTTAGCTCCTTTCTTTTGTTTACCTCCTATATTTCTTTCATTCTTTTGAGCCTTTGGCATACATATTTAAGAATTTCTGGAGTTTCTTCTTGCACATAAAATTTCACAAATTCTTGCACAAAAAAAAAAAAAATGAATTTTAATTTATATTTTAAATTCTACTGATGTTCATAACATCTGAAGTCAAATAAAAGAATGTGACTTAATATTGTCACAAAATGTATGTATTGAGTGAAAATTGCATCTTTCATTGCAACGAAATCGGAAGGCATCCGATTTCTCCGCTATAAAATGCTCAGACGAAATGGCTTCCATATCTCTTACTTATACTAAAATTCATTGCTTAAGATTAAATATATTTGTGCCATACAGGTATATTTGTCTAGATATTTGCCTTTTGCGAATATTTATACCGAATACTATTATACATATTTGTGATATTATACTATGATATGATATATTATACAAATTTATACGTTTAGACTAATTATTAAAAAACTAATTATCATAATCGCGATGTGCAAGAAGATCTATCCTGAACTAATAAATAAAGATATGAAAAAAATGTTACTACTCATGGGTATAAAAAATACCAGCGGTCACTATGCTCGCAAAAAATTCGACATAATACAACCAGTCACCCGTGCCGATTCGGATCTTTTATCCTACGACATGAGTGACCGGAGGAATAAAAATGCATGCGACTTGCCATTAGAAGCAGAGAAACGGAAAACGTTGCCATCGGTACTGCACTATCTCAGCAAATATCATTAGAAAGTGTAACATTAGGCAGGAACCGTTGAAAATCCAATGGTGGAAATGGAGCTTGTGAAAAATCTGTTACAAAACAAAACACGATGAGTGATCGCTAATTATTTGGAAAGTTGGAGATTATGAAAAATGGAAATTTATTACATTCGTAACTTTAGTAATAATAAAGATAGAAATTCTAATAAACTTCCATAAATGTAAAAACTGAAACTTTAATATGAAAGTTTAAAATCTAGAAATCAAGAATCTAATGATTATTTAAATATATTAGTCATTTGTTTTATAATTTGGTATTAAGACTTTAACACTTTTTTTATTTTAATAGAAGAATAATCTTAGAAAACCCTAACCTAAGAAATTTTCAATCAAATTGTATTTCTTAATCAATAGTATTCAATGCAAAATATACAGAATACATATAATTCAAGTATGATATGTAAAGTTACTTACATTCTTGCCTTTTGAGCCACATTTGGAGCATTCCCAAAGAAGACAAAGAAGTCCGAGCTGTGATATGTCTATAACAAAACACAAAATATCATTAATATCGTTAGTATACAATAACAAGCATGGAACTTTAACAATAATAAATACTAAACTCTAATAAGTTGCACGCGGTCATAAATATTCCCTAAAGATAAAGTTGTTTATGGGTGAGATGGAGTGCGGAGTAGAAAAGAAGCGAAATATTGTTTCGATGTTTTTCTTCTTTTCTCTGTCGAACTTTTATTTAGAAAATACTGCTACTTTTCTTTTCACACTTAAGAGATTATTATTAAGAAATTGGAATACGTATAAAAAATATTAGTTTAAAATTATAAGATATTTCTCGATATCGAACAAATGTTTACGAATACCGTGAATGCAATGCGATCATTTCCAAGAATTATACTGTGAATGTTCTTTACTAGAATATAAAATATACACCACTAATATACTATAGTCGCGTATTTGCAAGAATTCAAAAGTTCACAACTAAATATACTTAAATAATACTACAGAAACGCATGCGACATCTTGCTTTGAAGTACTTGAGTCTATTTGCGCGCCACCTCTATGAAAAGGATATAAGTTACGAAGTTGCAACATATGACGTTAACTATAGCGAATTCACATAATATAGTAAAATAATTTGAATTCTATATGCGAATGTTATGATCCCTATCGAAATAAGTTAAAGCTATTGTTATTAAAATTTCTATGTTTCAAACTGTCTACATGGAGCTATCTTTAAATTATCAAGAACTCTATATCGCGAATTACATTGAAACAATAAAATAATTCCTTACAAATTTGTTTGAAATAAAAGAATGATTTCATATATCCGAAATGGAACAATGATTATTTTAATCGTATTTGCTTTCATCTTAGTATTCCAAATAATTACGAAATATGTATCATAATTATGAAATTATATAATTATGAAATATGTATCAAATATATTTCAAAATAAATATAAATTGTATACCAAATGTTACCCATGCTCGAATAAAAAGACAATAGAATTGCTCATATGCAGCTGTCTTAGTTAAAATAAATTAAACATTACCAAATTTCCATGAAGATTCATCGGATCCACCATTAATAGTCGTTGCGTCCATATATTGATGTTCTGTTACTTTTATATTATCTCTGCTATCGATAAATAACCTGCACAAAAAATAACTGCGTCAAAACAAATACATAAAATACACAATCAAACTTAAATTTTGTTACGAAAACTTACGATAGAAGCTGTTGGAACAGTATTATGTAATAAATAGACGATCGAAGAAAAACTAAAACAAAAATTTCAAAAAACTGCTTAATTTCATTAGCTTAGTATTCAATGAATAAATGTGTACTAATTAAACGATATTAATAACGAGATATAAACGATAGTAAAAAATATAGTAATGAATAATGCAAAATATATACTAATGATAGTAATAAAGAAACGACGCCACCAATAGGTTATAATACATTACAAACCTGACGCAACGCGATCCATGTTATCGATACGAAATGAGACGACCGAATGACTCCTTGCACCTTAGTTTCGCCGAGAAACTTCCAAAGTGGTGCGGGAAAGGGGGGGGGGTTGTACCACGAGCCGATGGTACAAGCAGGTACACGATTACACGCAGTTACAGATTAACGATCTAAACAAAAAAATGTAAACATCAACAAAAACATTCATCTTCTACGCAGCGCTTACACGAATCTTTCTCTAGATCGATATTTACAAACATCGTAGTACAATAATTCGTAGCCCTACTGGCAGCATTCAGTATCACAGACACATTTGTCTAGATTGGAACGAGAGAAAGAAACTCATCTGGTAAACTCGCGAACGGGACAATTACAGTATACGTCTCTGAATACCATGGTCTTTTCTACGACTTGTACGAGGTAAGCTACTGTCCATGTATCGTTAGAATTGACGATCACTGTGCGTCTCGTTGCTTAGACTAACCTGCTTTCGTTTGCGTAAGAAGATTTTCTCTCGTGCAGGAGTATTTTGACCGATTTTTAATTGTCTATATAACTGGAATGAAAGACGAAAACGCAATTTTTTTATGCTTGCATCCCTTAAATTTCCTGATATCTGTATAATAGGAACCCTATGTGATTACTTATCTAAATCATAGTCAAGTATTTATTAAAAAATCTCTTCTTCTCGAGGTGCAATTACCAAATTATATTCCTATAGTGTGCTCATCGGTTTTACATTACACTGGCACACGCAACACTTTGCAGATGAGCCTTTTTCATAATGGCTGCTTTTAAACTACACCATCGTGACTTCCTAGCATTTGCCGTAATTGTTCCTTTGGATTGGATATCATAACGGTTCCACCATCCAGCTGCCTTTAAATTGAATTGTTTTATGCAATTCTTCTTAATTTAAATGTATATTTAATACGTCATATTTTACATGGGTTATATATGTATTTTACATATATAACATAGTAATATACGTAATTATATATATATATATATATATATAATATTACATATTATATTATAATATATATATGGATTTTGCATCTACCATATTTTTATTATATATATTTATACAATGAATTTTTAATTATTTTTTATAGTATGTATAACAATATATTTTAATGTTTGGAATCCTATCGATGTTTGCATTGCTTCTGCATCATTTCTGTCATTGAAATTTGTTTCTCAAATTAAAAGTTTTATTCAATGTACTATTTTTCTTTTAAAGACTTCATTTATATTAATGATTACATTCAGCTTTTCATTATAACTACTGAGATCAAATTATGAGAATGCAACGCAACTTACGCAGGTTGCGTTAATAGTCTCATTGTAATTTCTAATGGTGTGTTTTTGTACGAATGCTCAACGATATCCCGGAATTTTCGAGACTCCTAGCAGTTGAGCAATTTTGTTGGAAGGGAAACTTTAAGATGGCGTATCAGGTAAAATTTCATAACAGTTTCCATTGGGACGGAATATTGCGAATGAACATTGTGCGAAACAGGTTGCGTTGGAAATCGTGCATAGGATTAGTATGGATAAATCCAATGAGAATTTCTTTAGTTTTTGTGTCACTTCGTAAGTACAGTCCTTGTTATTGTTGTGAAAATTGGTGGAAACAAAATAGTTCGATATGACTTCTTTTAATATTTGGATTTAAGCGTTTTTGTTCTTGTTGGAATTGGAAATCGCGATTTGCTTTAATAGAAGGAGGATTAAACGTATTGCATACTGGAATTTGCATATTTGAAATACTTAGCTTTTTAAAGATTTTCGTATGTTTCTTTATTATATGAAATGTGAAATTTTATAGTTGATTTATTACTGAACTTATTACTACTGTGCGGGAATATTTATTGGTACTGATAGTAATTTGTTACTGCCAGCTTGTCAGATTTTATTACTAATATTAGTACAATTGTGAAAAAGATAATTTTTTCAACAATGTTACATCATTTTGTACAGTATATGTTTTGACTACTAAAATACAAATATATTTTAATTATTCGCTCATTTAAATAAAGTTACAAATATGCAAAGAAAATCTGACGACAAAACCTAACTTAACATTTACTTCTAACAGTACTGCAATGACAACGTTTTAGTAAGAAGTTAGTAATATTATTAACTGATCAATTATTGCATAAAGAGCTCAGATTATAGAAATCGCTATGCAAAAATATTATAAACGATCGGATATTTCAGAAACCATTAAATTTATTTCTTACATTCTGGTCTTGACATACACAAGTAAATCTAGAATTATCCAAACTCTATTTATACAATTAATTAAATTATTAATAGCTGGAATTCATAAACGGTAAAGGACAGCGCAGAGTAGAAACTAAACAAAACGTATCGCAGTTTTTAACCACGTTTCTTATTCGCGACCTCAACACACCTTATCGCGTAACAAGTTTACTCTTATCGCAATCAGTATTTCCAGACATTTGAGCGGATCTCCTTTTACTTCCGCGCGTTTTATCTTCCACGAGGGCGCGCCACGGATGACGTGACGAGAATGCTGAACATGACCCGTCGAGTTACATCGACTTTGTGTCGGTTCGAACGGTTTTATTGATCTTAAAGTATTTCTCCAACGTGGAAAAGAAAAAAAAAACCGGGCGCGCAACCATAACCGTAACTAATGTAAGCTTCTTTCGGGGCTTGCGGAGAACTCTTCGCCGTAAAGTTTCCGCACGGCAGGCGCAGCCG